CCTGGGGGGAACTTCAGCCAAGAGTCATAGCAAGAGAAAGCTCAGATATGCCACCAGTATGGGACTGGAAAACAAGAAAAGCAGCAGCCCAGAGATGTTAGACTTCTTGCTGTGCAAGACAGCTTCTGGGAAAACAGAAGAACTTGATATTCAGTCTGTTTCCAAAAGAGAATTTAAAGACAGCACCAGGATTTAGGATGTAACAGACTTCACAACAGTCTTCCCTAACCCCTCCACCTGTTAGAATGCAGTCAGATTAGTGGACACTGAGCATAAGGAATGCATCCATGAACCCAAGGCCTAAAAAAGTCTTCCCTCTTGTCCCAAGGGATATCTAGCTCTACCCAAGTAACTCCTCTTTTGAAGAGAACACATGGAGCCTAAAGAGAAGAGCTGAAACTCCTCAAAGCAAAAAGACTTCCAGTGCTTTCTGCCCATCTCTCCACTCCTCATATTAGTCCAGAATATTGATTCGGTAGAATAGTCTGGCACCTACATGGGCCAGTGGCAGCATGCCCACAGACAAACATTAAACAGGACATGTATGATCTCAGATTGAGTATAGGACCTTGTGGATGGGAGCTTCTTCCTGTGATACCATTTATCAAGGTAGTGTGATTTGGGTGACAGGTTAAGTATCATTTGAAGACACAGGTTAATGTCCCATTTCAGTCCAAGCACTCTTTCAAGATGAAGTAATCCAAAGAGAGACAATCCCAATCAGTGCCAAGACCAGGGCCATGAAAAGAGACTGCACTGACAAGTTATCTTGGTAGCTCATAACCTGGTTAGCTTGTAGCCTGACTGCAGTGCCAGGCATATTGCCTCAAGTAGGGTTCTGACAGCAAACTAGGCGATGCTACCTTTGAGGTGGACTCTGTGAGTGGCTTGAAAAGTGGATCCATGACGCTATAATCCTCTTATTAACCCACATGGTCTAATTGCTGCTGAAACTAGGTGGGGACAGAGTCCTGAGCCAAACAGAAGGAAGTCACAGCATCCATTCTCGTTTCTGGAGGGTGATGGGTGTTCTTGTTAACAGGACCCACAAGGCAAATGGAGTTTTGTAGAACAGTTGTCTTTAAGCAAAATAGCTGAGTTTGCAAACACAAGTGTCCATCTGAGAAACTCTCAAAGGTATCGCACTGGGTTTTGTTTTGCCTTATTTCTTTTTATTTCGTTTGAATGGCAGTTATGCTGAGAGATGGATTCACTGGATGAGGGCAGAATTCACCATTCTTGCAGATCCGTAATTGCTTCTGAGGCAATGTTTTTCTAATTATCCACTATGTGAGGTTGATTCAAATATAACAAAATACAGAATTATACTGATGTCACATATTTTCCTAAGGGTAAGTCTTAGAGGCAGCCTGGTGTGCTGGCCAGGAACACATAAAATACCACTAAATGAAGCTGGACACACTCAGTTAATGACGAGTGCTCAGTATTCAGCCATTAATCATCAACCAATAGGCATGGCCTACAGAAGGGAGCTGTTCCACGTACCCAGATCAAACTACTAGTAGATGGCTTAGAGCTCTGGTACCCTCAGCTATAACCCCAGAATTCCTTCCTACCCCCACTCTATTCCCACTCCTCTCTACCATCCCTCCCTCCTGGAGAGGTACAGGAAAGAATGCTCTCAGGCCATACTGGCTTCACAGAGGCCATTCTCAGGCAACCCATGCCTGGACCTCTCTCTTGCTGTCTCTCTCCACACTGTTGCCATGGAGACTGGATGCCATCTGAGCTCTGTACTTTCCCTGGAGTCCAGCCTTCAAATATCTTAGTATATTCCAACCCACTCACTCCCCTGGCTCTCCAGACTGTGAACATATCTAATCTGGATTCCTTTAGTTAAATGGTGCAGGAGTCTCTTTGCCACACTCCACTAATGGTCTCAGTGTTCTTGCTTAAATTCTTATGTGGGGGTGGCAGCCTGTGGTTCCATGGAGGCCTATGCATCCACATCTCTCCTTTCTTTTCTAGAAGAGAAGAGTTGATTTCAAGCCATGTGTGAGGTTCAAACAGTGCTCAGACAAATTGGCTCGTGGGAGAGGTGAGCCTGGCCCCAGGGGTGCAGGTAGATCAGAAAAGCAGGTGGGGTGGGAGGCACCATGTGAAGTCAATTTTGCGCCCTGACTATGAATGGAGCACTGGGTGGAACACTCACGGTGGACTGGGAAATAAGAAAAGCAGAAACACGAAGAAGCTGATGGAGGTTCCTGAACACAGCTTTTATTAACTCTTCTGCTTTAGTCAACCACTCACTTCCTCAGTTATCCCTTAGCCCTCTTCATTCCTCAAATCTAAACCATCTCAGAAATCTTGTACATCCTCTAACTATAACACTGACCAACATGCTCTCATCCCTGCCTTTTCTTGTCCTTCCATTTTGTTCCCATTAGACTACTTACCCAGAATCATTGGCTAAAATCTGTACATTTTCTGACCATTAAAATCAATTCCTGGCTTTCTTTTTTCAGGAGGTCAGAGATAAAGCAGGTGCTATCAGTCCATCCTGTAGAATTCCCTAAGCTCTACTGCTGCTTCTGCTCAGGGATGTGGGCTTGAGTTGCCATCGTGTCACCTCCCAACTCCCTTTGCTAGGATTCCTAAAATGGACTGTCACTTTCCCTGCTTTGATCTCGTCACCTTCTCTAATCATCACTTCTTTCTCAGCATTCACTCTCCTCCTTTATAGTCCTGTGTGTCAGACCCCATAGAGTGCCTGACTGGCCAGCAGGATTAGCCATATCCAGCCTACCCTTCAGAGACTGAGACTTGTCATTTAGACAGAAAGAAGGGATCCACTCAGGATCCTTCTGCAGGGTCTGGAAAGGCCCTCATGGAGCAGCAGCTTCTTACATTCTCATCTTGTCTCAATGTCCCAGGTGACCTCCCAGTACCATCTCGGGCCTTGAAGCTCTTGTGCTCTGCTTCACACACACACTGACTTCCTTCTTATTTCCTCACACAACAAGAAAGCTTCTGGCTCAACTTTTCCTATGGCTTATGCCATAGGCAGAGGCAGTCTCTGTTCAATCATCGCTCTATCTAAGATGGCTAACCTGGCACGAGTAGCTTCTGTGACAGCATGATCAGTACTCTTACTTGCTTGAATTTTCATCCTTGCATTGATTGTCAAGAATTTATTCTGTCTGGTTCCCCCAAGGAAATATGAACTCCATAAGGATGAATTCTATTTGTTTACTTTTTGATATTTCTTGGCACATAACAAGCCTCATTAAATATTTGTCAAGTATAAAAAGTTCTACAGCTTGGCGTATTTGGTGTTTTAGGCTGAATTGCCCACAAGAGGCAGGAGTAAGAGTGGGAAATTATGCAGCTGAGAAGTTTTGGTTAAGAGTTGTGTTCTGTTTGAAAAATCCAGATTTGTAGCTCCACTAGCTGGATCGCAGGTATGACAAAGCCAGTCTCTAAAAATGGCTCCCAGTGATCTTCAACTCCAGATAGTCTTGTCCCTTTATAGTTAACCTTTCTCCCTGAAAAGGACTGTCTTTTGTAAGTATAAGATTTCATGAAAATGATATTGTGTAATCGATAGACTTGGTCATGAAAGACATTGTGGCTTGTGCCTTTCTCTTTCTTGGATCACCCACCCTGAGCCCACCCAGCCACCATACAAGTAGCCCCTGGAGAGAATGTCACACAGAGGAACTGAGGCCTCCTGCCGCTAGTCAGTGCCATGTGAGTACGCCATCTTGGAAGCAGATCCTCAGCTCCAGGCCAGCCTTCAGAGGATGGAGCCCAGCCTGATTTTGTGATTGCAAACCCACAAGAGATCCCAACTCAGAAATGCCCAAATCCCCAACCCACAGAAACTATGTGACATAATGTTTATTATTGTTTTAAAATGCTAAGTTTTAGAATAGTCTGTTTCACAGCTATAGGTAATTCTCATGAAATGGATGACATGGGGGCTGGCAAGTTCAGGTTTGTCTTTATCAGTGGTTCACTGTGTAGCCCATTTCCCTTTGGTCCCAATTTGATTCTTCAACTCTTAGCAGCCACAAATGCCACCTGTATCCTCAATGAACTTTATTTAGACACAAATAGACAGAACAGAAAATACATACACAGATACAGATTATTTTTTTTCTACAGGATGAACAAACATCACATACGGAATTTAAAAAGTAGGTGCATGGAATGTAAGAAAATATTGCAGAGTTCCATGTTCACTCACACATGAAACAAACACATATTTCAGAGGAAGACAAAGATATGCTATCCCGACAACAAAATTCACATTTGGTCTATAAGAGCACACAGGTGTTGGGAAAGTAATCAAAGGAGTTAGGGATCCAGTTACTGTTGATGTGACAGAATCCTCACAACACTAGTAGGACTCTGTTTAAACAAAAGACAGAATCGAGGAGGATTCCATATCCCCTGCACAGATGCTCTGCAAGCTGTCAGCTAGATAGTAAAGCAGCTTGCAGAATGCTAGATTAGCTTTCATCTTGTGGCATGAAGGTCTACACAACTTCTACTTTTGTGTCCACATCATAGAGTTTTACAGAGACACGCTTAGGACACTAAACTCTCCACATGCACGCTGGTTTGGAAACCCGCAGTACAAAACATTGACATTAGGTTATAAAACATGGCTTTCAAATGGGAAGGGAATAGCCAAGAGGGGAACACACACTTTCTAAATGCAGCCACATCCATTGGTAGTGTTTTCACCATGCTGTGTATGGTCCCCTTCCATGGGCAGCCACCACTGTGTCCTGCTCCCTGCCATGAGTGGAGCAGGATGGATGTCTCTTGGAAGTCTATCACTCTAAAGTTAAACATGTGATGTCCTGGTCACTCCTGTCAGAAGCTATGTATGTCCCCAGGACAAGCTGCCGTCGAACCTCCCCACTTATTCCTGTCCCAGGCAAGCCTCTTGCCTCCACACCATCTTCACATTTCAGACTGGGGTTCCCTAGCAACCTTTGTATTTTAGTAAAAAATGGTTTCCACTGTACCCTTCGTGTGTCCTCTTCCTAGTGTGACAAATCCAGATGAGATGAAGTTATGGAGATCTGGTCCTCCACTTCGGTAAGCATCCTTCCCATAATGCCCTGTAAGAAGATGGGGCAGAATTATCTGACGCATCCATGACACCAACACAGAAGACAACTGCAGCTCCATCTCACCAAAAGGTGATGGTGCACTACATTCAAACCAGCGGCTAAGTCAGGAGGTATAAGTGGTCAAGGAAAAAGGGTGATATATATAGTATACATCACATATGTTACTGAGAATATATTTCTCAATATATACATATACACACATATATGTATATATTACTGTGCAACAAAGAATAATATTATGTTGAAAACGGGGAGTCGGACATATGGCTTGATTTTGGCATTTCTAACTAAGCACAAAGCACATCAGAACAGTACTTTATAGATGTTCCTCAACTTACCATGGAGTTATATCATGATAATACCATGGTAAGCTGAAACATCATAAGTCAAAATGCATTTAATGAACATGATACGTTGGCAACACAGCACACTGTACAATGTCAGTTGTTTCCCTTTCTGATTGCATGGCCAGTTGGTGGCTGTGGCTCACTGCCATTCTCCTGCATAGAGAAAGAGGATCATACTACATATTGCTACTCCAGGAAAAGACCAAAATTCAAAATTCAAATCATGGTTGCTACTGAATGTGTGCTGCTTTCAAACTATAGCAAAGTCAAAAAAAATAAATCTGAACAGTGAACCACTGTAAATCAGGACCTTCCTATTTGTCCCACCATCCTTCTTCTCTCCTAATTCTCTTCTCTCTCTTTTTTGTTTTGTTTGCTTTCTTTCTCCCTACAGCAAGCAGGAATGGATCTGATAGAGTCTTTCTATATATGTGTGTGTGTGTTTACAAATCATATAAACCCTATGGGACCGCAGACTTGTAACTGAAGAGAACTCCTACAACAGCTAACACCAACAAGTAGAATGGTGGTTAGAAAATACTGGGAAAATATTTAGGTTTTCCTTTTTTAATTTTCTGAAATAGGGCCGTATCTCTCATGAGCCAGATGTAGGCATCTACCTGTGGGGTTGAGTTAAGCAAAAGGCCAAGAGCAGGTTAAGAACTGCAGGGGAAGAAATTCAGAGAAGAAGGATAATATTCCACTTCTGACATTCAAAGTAAGATTTTACAGTGTGCTTGAATACAGGCATTGTAAGGAAGGAAAGGACTCTAAATGCCGTCCTAAAGTATGCACATGCAAAAATAAAGTCACATTCTTTTCACATTGTCACATATACACACATTAAAACTGTACTTATAATTACAATGTGTGGGAAACTACTTCAGACATAAAGTTTAAAATTAGATAGAAGATGCTGTATTAAATGATAACAGAGCTATCAAAATTCAAGCCAGTGGATTAAAAAAACCCCAAAACATTCATAAGATTGAAAGAAAATGCACAAAGATACTGACATCTGCCCTTGGATGGTTGGAACATGGGTGTTAATTTATTTCTACTTTCAACTTTTCTAAAGTTTCCAACATTTTTTCTATAATGAATACAAAAGTTTCTAATATAAATAGGTAAAATAAATGTCTAGCAGAAAGTTCCTGACAAATGCAAACACAAAGAAAATCATTCTTTCTTAACAGGGCACACTCAGGTCCATACATCTCAATCTAAGGCGCACACTGGAATCTTTTTTTTTTATATTATTTCATTGGTACATTTTAGGCATACAGTATAATGACATTCATCATTGGAAATTTGCACCTTTAAATAATCTCTCTTGGTTCTTATTTTTCCCCCTTCCCCAGCCCTTCCTTCAACCCCCCCATCCCTCTCTATTTACAAAGACTTTGTTTCCATTTTTTCATTTTCTCTTTGTTTTGTATATCTTTTTATTGGTACATTTTAGGTATATAATATAATGACATTCATCACTGGAAATGTGCACCTTTACATACTCTCTTGGTTCTTATTTTTTTCCCCCTTCCCCTACCCTCCCTTCAACCCCTCCATCCCTCCCTATTTACAAAGACTTTGTTTCCTTTTTCTCATTTTATATTAATTTCATTCTCTTCTTTCCTTTCCTCTACCCCTCCCACTTCCCCTTCCCCTTTGCCCCTTTTCTTCCTATTTCACATTATCTATTATACCTTTTAGTGCTTATTTACACTTTCAGTTTCTCACACTAGAGAAACTATTTGGTATTTACACATGTGGGTCCTATTTATTTCACTTA